ATTTCCAATACTTAAGCACTTCCCTAATCTGTGGTCCAATAAAAATACCTTCTTTCATCTTTGCCTGCCTCACTTATTTTAGGGAATTTTTGTTTCAAATAAGTAAAATCACCACCATTTTTGACCATGGTTTTAACAAAATTTTTGAAAAGTCCTAATCTAATATGCAGAGGTGGTAAAAGAATATTTTTAGGATCGACCAAAGGCTGAAAAAGGACACTTTTGGTTCCAGAAACGACTGCTTTACTTTGTGGCCAATCTTGTTTCAAGTAATGCAATTTTATATCTCTGCTATCCCACTCACAGATGAAGCAACAATATTTCGTGTTTCCAAGTTGTAAGCCTAGTAAAATTGCAATAATTTTTAAGTCACCACGTAGTGAATATTTTTAAGAGTAACTGCATATTCTCGTAAGATTCTTTCATATCAGTTCCATGGGCTAACGATATTGCGCGGATTTCATTTCCATTATGCAAGAGAACAGCCTTTAAACTGACCTTGGAAAAATGAATGAACAAACGCCAATCATCATCGTTGTATTCAAAATCAAGAGAATAATAATTTCGAACCCTTTAATGATGATCCTAAGATTTCACTCTTCTTTTTGGACAATTTTAAATTGCACCCTAGATAGTTCAAATCGTCTTGCGTTATAAGATAAGCTCCATCAGATGTCCTGGGTCCGAAATTAGGGTCCTTTGTGTTTGGGCTTTGTTCATTCTCACATCCTTGATTCGGAAAAAGTATTAACATTTTCCGGTGGTTTCGGCAATGGTAAATATTCAGAGTGAGCGACTGGTCGTATCGCTAATTGCAGGTTGTTTTGATATTTTACTGTGAGTTTTGACTTCGGTTTAATTTTTGTTAAACAAAAATAACAGTTTGAAAAATGATTTATATGTTCACGCCAAATCATGGGGCGGCAAATTTCAAATTTTAATTTTTGTTAAACAAAAATAACAGTTTCAAAAATGATTTATATGTTCACGCCAAATCACGGGGACGACAAATTTCATATGACGTTTTTCCTCAGTCCAACCTGTGAGAAGCCTTACACAGGTGCTGCAAATTACATGAGGCGCCCCTCCTTAATCCTAGTCACCCAACGGACAGTCAAAATAAAGTTTGGAACACTATCTCAAGAAGGTACTCACGAAAATAATCACCCCTATTCTGAATCGCATGGGAATGGGAGTTTGTTCCCTATCCCAAAGTTTGCTATTCTGAATAATTTGGGAATGGGAGTTTTGTTCCCTGTTCCCAATATTGTTTATTTGAATCGCATGGGAATAGGAGTTTTTTCTCAATTTTGCACAAACTCTTTCCAAAGCAAATTGTTTGGGAGACAAATTAAAAAAGTATTAAAAATAGTTTAATTTAATATGAAAGGAACTGAAATTGATCAGATTTTTGAATATACCTTGTGATCAAAACAGAACGAGAATTTTAATTTTTGAATTCCCGCGCTTATCCAATCGATAAATTTTTTTCATTTTCACACTGGCAACACTATTATACACATTCTGTCCAAGTTTAACGCATATTAGTTTTTGTTTGACGTCTATACAAAGAAGTCGAAAAATTTTTGTGTGGCGATTTTTATAATGGACTAAAAATTAGAATAACGTGCGTGCATCAAATTTTGTGTTGCAAATGGATTCAAGTGAGCGAAACGTCGCAACCACGAGTACACGAATGGTTTAAAAGGTTCAAAGACGGTCGTACAAGCTTGGACCATGATGAGATCCCTGTTCGCCCAACGACATCTGTTACTGAAGAAAACATTGAATCGGCGAAGCAGATCGTGTTGGAAAATCGTTGTGAACGGATAAGAGAGATTGCAGTGTTGTTGGGCATCTCATATGGATCGACCGAACACATTTTAACTGATGTTTTGGGTTTGAAACGCGTCGCTTCTCGGCTGGTGCCAAAGAAACTAAACTTCATTCAAAAAAGCGTCATTATGATGTGGCCAAGAGATGATTTCCAATGCAGATAGTGACCCCACATACATCGAACGCATCATAACTGGTGATGAGACATGGGTCTATGAATTTGACATGCCCACCAAACAACAATCGACCGAATGTTGCTTCGAAGGTGATCTGAAAACGAAAAGGGAACGCCAAAGTCGGTCCAAAAAGAGAATTCGCTGCGTGAACTAAAGGCTATACCTCGGCGGCCTATAAAACTTGTGTGGAAAATTGAATCAAGCGTTGGCATGCATGTATTGCCGCAGGAGGATAGTACTTTGATGGCGATAATGAAGAAAATTATTAAAAATTTAAATTTTGCGTTTTTTTTTTAAATTCTCGTTCTTTTTTGATCATAAGGTATTTTAATAAAATTATTATTATAATAAAATTATTATAATAAATTTAATATTTTCATAGTTTTATTTATTTATTTTATCCACAAGGGTTGATTAGTTTTTTTAATAAAATTTATTTTATTTTAATAAAATTTATTTTATTTTAATAAAATTTATTTTATTTTAATAAAATTTATTTTATTTTAATAAAATTTATTTTATTTTAATAAAATTATATATGTAAATTAATAAAAGCAAGCCGGTTTAGTTTTTTTAAAAAATATATACCACTAGTAATTGTTCCGTTCATGAAGTTCGTAACAAGAATTCTAAACTAAGTGAGCAATGCTCCTACTTTTATATTCAAATAGCTTAAACTTACATATAAAACTGTTTACTCAAAGCTTGTTCAGATCATCAGGCCTATTGTAAATCCCATGGGAATGGGAGTTCTTTCCCTGTTCCCAATTTTGCTATTCTCAATCGCCATAAATTTTTTATTCTGCAATGGATAGCATTACAAATCTATATATATGTATTTATTTTCTTTTGATTCCTGAAATTATATTTGATGTATATATAACAAGTAGTTTATGAAAAACAGTTAAAATTCGAAGTTTTAGTAAAATTTGTTTAAAATTATTTTGTTATATTTGTTTTTATATTTAGAAGAGTTTCGATTCATCCATAAAAAATAGTATAATATTAAGTAATATACTTCTACATTTTTGATACTCATTTACACAGGTCAACAAAAAATATTTTTTTTTCTGTCCCAGATATGTTGTTGGGTGATCCTAGATGTATTTTTCGTGCTGATTCCAAATCTGCGTTCAGATTTTTTCGATTACGTATAGTTTTCTTAAGACAACCGGATTAACAGATAATTCAAGGGGGTTTTAGCAAGTAAATCGTGAATATAAAAAATGGTCCTTACTTAGGATTTTCTTGCATATAGTCACATATTGACATATTTACATTAATTTCTAAGCGGGTACCAAGAACTTTAAAGCGATCTTACATGTGATTTCTACAGCGATATTGCGGGAGAGATCTCGCAGCTTCTCGCTCTCACGACCGCTGTATAAGTGTAATATGGCGTTTACATTGGCCGAAAATGGCTCATTTTGGTCAAAAATCGAAAATGAGTATCGAATGGCTCATTCTTGCATATAAAATTTCAAGCACAAAATGAGCAATTTTCTCACATTCTGTATGAATGACGTTCGAATGCATTCCACATATGTTCCAAATGCAAAGGAATCTATTGAACATACCCTAAATGAAAGCTCTTCATGGCATTTTGACAGAAAAAGCTGCTTTGACATATTTACAAAAAAAGATAAACAAATGTTTAGTGGTTGCATTTTCTTTAAAACGATGCACCAATTTTTGGAACTTCTACTTCCCAAAAATAAATAAATCGAATCTAGAAACAAGTTTTCAGTTTATATTGTAAGGTTTGAAGGTATATTTAACCTTCCTGTAACATTTTTTTGGTACAGACCAAAAATTAAATCAACATGCAAGTTGAAAAATCAGCTGTTTGAAATGAGAAAAAATGAAATACAACGAATGTAAACACTTTCAAATGACTCATCCAAAATGAGCCATTTTCGGCCAATGTAAACGCCGTAAAAAGCACATGTAAGGTTAGCTTTAAGAAACTTTGAGCCTTGCTTTAATGTTCGGAATTGTATAAAATTAAAATTATGAAACTATATGCTCTCAGTTAAATTGTTCACTAGTTTAGATTTGGTTTAAGAAAACATTTTCTTGGATTGTTGAAAATAAAATTACAATACAAAACTATATGTATATTGAAAATTATTATTAATTTGTTGTTGAAAACATTTCTTAAATTATTTAAAAATAAAATTAAAATACAAAACTGGCGACGAGGATAAAAATAAAATTTTTTTCGATTGCTTTAAGAAAAGCAAAACGAATAGAAGTTTTGACTTCAAATTTTTTTAAATTCGAATTTCGGCGATATTTCAATTAAAGAAAAAATTATGCAATTTAAATGTTAATAACTGTATGAAACATTAATTAATTTGTTGCAAGTGTGAAGTCGTGCTGGTTAAAAACAAGTTTCTTTCTAGAAATAAAATATCATTCAAGGTTAAAATAAATTGCAATTACTGGGAATATTATCTTATTAAAAACAAAAACAAAATTTTAAAACAATTTTTTTCCAATTTATACAAAAAAAAAAAAAAACAAAAACAATTATCACAGTCGATAAGAGTGTATTTATCTTAGAAGGCAAGTTAAACAATGTAAATTTAATAAACATTAATAATATGTAATATTTGTATTATTAATAATAAACTTACAAAAAAAAAAAAAAAAAAAAAAAGAGGCGATTAATAAAGGAAACTCAAGAAAACTCTAACAAATACAACAACAGCTGCAACTTCCGGAACACATAGACGTATTAACCCCAGAAAGGAGGTTAACACTGGAAGCGGTGATATTAAATATTTTTTTTTTTAGTATTATTTATTATTATTTAAATCGCGTTTATATTAATCTTAATCGATATTATATTAATAATAATCAATTATAATCATTAAAATCATTAACATTAGTTTAGTATTAAATAATAATAATAATATCATTATTATATTGTAAATTCTTTTGTTATTCGTGTCATTGCAAGTGAGACTGACGCTAGTTGCAATAATGGACAGCGACACAATAAGTCAATTAAATTTGTTATTACAATTAATTAAAAATATCAGGGATTTTGATGGTACTGAACCAGCTCAATTACCTGATTTTATTCAACAGATAGACAATTTAACACCCCTAGTAAATAGCCTAGAGACTTCCGCTAAACTGATCATTGTTTCATATATAAAAAATAAATGCGTAGGAGAAACTAGAGAAATTGTTCATAGGGAACGATCTGAAAATTGGGAGGAATTAAAAAACACATTGAAAAAACATTATGGGGAAAAGTCAACTTGTATTGAATTGATGGACGAATTAAAAACATTGAGCTTGCAAGGGACAATTGAAAATTATTATTTTAATATCACTAATATAATAAACCGAATAAATAATAGAATTTTGACGCACAATGAAGAACAATATACAAGAGAAGAAGTAAACAGAATAGGTTTAATTACATTTAGAGATCACTTGCCAGAACCTACAAAAACCTTGATATTTTCGCGAAATCCAAACGATCTTGAAGAAGCGTTCAAACTGATAACTGAAGCAAGACACCATAATTATACAAAATATGGACCTGTAAACAGGAGATACTCAGACAATAGAGCTCAACCTAGATTTAGCAATAGTTTTAGTAACCAGAATACAACCCAACAATATGATAATAATCGAAATAATCGAAGTAATAATTACCACAATCCAGGATACAATAGAAATAATATGAACAACTATACTGACAACCACAATTACAATAATAGTGATAGATTTTACAACCAAAGACATAATAATAATAACAATAGACAGGTTATGAACGACAATAATACTGCTAGAATCCGTGTAACGAACAATAATAATAGAAATGGAAATTATCAAAGATCTCAAACTCATAATCGTACCTCAACTCATCAAACAAGACATTCTCGGGATACCCAAAGTTATCCTCAACCTATGGACATAGGAAATGTTGCAGAACAAATTGTGAATATTGGAAATGCAGACGCAAATTTTCAAACACAAGCTTCAAACTTTTACCCTATATAAAGATAGATAATCCGATTAGAACATTACGCTTCATAATAGACACAGGCGCAGAATTTAGTATCATAAATAAAAATGTATGCCATCCTAAATGGAAACACGATGTGAATGTAAATGTGTCTGCTATGAATAAAATTGTTAACATAAATAAAATTTGTAAATTCCCTTTATTTAAAGAGTTTAATCAGAACAATTACTTGTGTGAGTTTCTGGAATGCGACTTCAGCATAAATTTTGATGGATTGATAGGCATAAATATTTTAAAAGATATTAGTAGCGTAATAGACCTACCTAACAGACAATTAATAACTAGTAAGGCGACACTGACTATTTTTCTCTCCAAGGAAGAAGAAGCGTATAATGCACAGGCTTATACAGAGAACGAAATACAAGTTTACAATAATGAAATAAATAGAAATAACTCATTAACGTTCGTTAAAACCGACCACTTACAATCACATGAAAGTACCCCACTACTTAAAACATTAAACAAATATAAAAACTTATTTTACAAGGAAAGCGACAACCTTACATTCTCTAACGATATTAAGCATAAAATCCCGACTCTTAATGAAATTCCAGTCTACTCTAAATTCTACCGTTATCCTGAAGTTCATAACAATGAGGTCAATAAACAAATAGAAGAAATGTTGCAGCAAGGAATAATAAGAAATTCTAATAGTCCATATAATAATCTGGATAGTGCCAAAAAAGTTAGATAAGTCCGAAATTCAAAAATGGCGCATAGTAATCGACTATCGAAAATTGAATAAAATTACAGTTGAAGATAGATTTCCAATGCCGCACATGGAAGAACTACTGAGTAAGTTAGGAAACTGCCAGTATTTCACCACGTTGAATTTAGCTAAGGATTTTCATCAAATTGAAATGCACCCCGATGACATTCAGAAAACGGCGTTCTCGACGAAACACGGACATTATGAATTTTTAAGAATGCCATTTGGCCTACGAAATTCACCCGCAACATTTCAAAGACTAATGAACCTTGTACTTAAAGACCATATAGGGAAAATATGTATAGTATACTTAGACGATATTATGATATTTTCAACTAGCCTAGAAGAACACCTTGAATCACTTAATAAAGTATTAAATGTATTATCCAAGGCAAATCTTAAACTTCAAATAGATAAGTGCACATTCTGTGCACGGGAAACAGAATTTTTAGGACACATAGTAACTGACCAAGGTATCAAAACCAATCCAAAGAAAGTTTTAGCAATTGAAAAGATTCAATTACCAAAGACTCTTAAAGAAATCAAATCCTTTTTGGGAATTACGGGATATTATAGGAAATTTATAAAAGATTATTCTAAAATTGCCCATCACTTAGTTAAATATTTAAAGAAGGATACTAAAATAAACTTGAAAGATCAAAATTATGTAGAGGCCTTCAATAAACTTAAAGTTTTATTAAAAAATGACCCGATACTCGTGAGACCGGACTTTAATAAAAAATTTGTACTGACAACAGATGCCAGTAACTTTGCATTAGGTGCAGTATTAATGCAAGAGAATAAGACTATAGCTTACGCTAGTAGAACATTAAACGGTCACGAACGTACTACAGTACAATTGAGAAAGAACTCTTAGCAATAGTTTGGGCGACCAAATATTTTAAGATGTACTTGTTTGGAAGAAAATTTGTCATTAATACAGATCATAGACCCCTAGATTGGTTACACAACCTAAAAGAGCCAAATGCTAAATTGCAAAGATGGAAAATAAAATTGAACGAATATGATTTCGATATTATGTACATTAAAGGGAAAGAGAATGTAGTCGCAGATGGTCTTAGCCGAATAAATATAAAACCAGAAGAGGTAGATAAGATGGTTATAAATTTAAACGAATTATTTGACGATAATCAAACTGTACACAGCGCAGAGTCTGATAGTGCAGATTTCATTCAAATATCGGAGAAACCAATAAATTTATTTAAAAATCAAGTTGTGATAAACGTAGGTAGCGTAAATACGGTCAAAACAACGATACTATTCAAAAAGAAAATAAGACACCATTTAACCATGAAAGATAAAAACGAACAATTTGTGTTAGAATTCATGAGAGAAAAATTTCCAAATAAAGGCTTGATAGCTATATTCTGTCCTGATAGAGAAATATATTTAACACTACAAAATCTTTATATTAAATACTTTGGGAATAATAGACAATTAAAACTACTTAAGACATGTTCAATGTTAGAAGATATCACAGATAAAGAAAAAGTATTACAACTAATAGAAATTGAGCACAGAAAGAATAATCACCGCGGAATTAATGAAGTCTTTTTAGAATTAAAACAACATTTTTATAATCCGCATCTACAAACGCAAATACAGAAATACGTTAACAACTGCGACATTTGTAATAGAGCGAAATATGATAGAACCCCCATCAAATATCCATTTAATCTAACAGAAACCCCTACAAAACATAACGATATTGTGCATTTTGACATCTGGTACCCACAACGGAATATTATGTATCTAACAAGTATAGATAGATTAACCAAGTATGCAACAGTAGAGTCACTTAAAGATAGAACTTGGTTATCAATTATTAAAGCATTAAAAGTAAGACTCCAATATTTAGGGAAACCAAATATCATAATAGCAGACAATGAGTTGGATACTGTAATGATTAAACAATTCTTGAACGATCAAAATATTAAACTGCATGTTACAACACCCTACTTAAAAACAGGCAACGCAGATATAGAAAGATTGCATTCTACGCTCAACGAACATGTACGACTGCTAAACGCAGACACAACTAACAAAAACAGTCTAAAAGACAAAATTTTTGCCGCAGTTATAGCTTATAACAATTCCATCCATTCCAGCACTAAAATAAAGCCAATAGATTTTTTTAAATAACGTTCTTAGCGAAGAACAAACCAAAAATATCTCGAATAAATTACATGAAACTAAAATTAAAAGAAGAAATATCGCAAATAGAAAATATATGAACACAAATTTTGAAAATGAATATGTAAAAAATAATAAAATTGGTAAATCACAACCTAAATATAAGAAAATAGTGAATTATAAACGAGAGGGCAATTACATAATTTCTAATGATAACAAATTTAAGAAAATTTATAAATCTCAAGTAAGACGGAAAAATAAATACCAAGATTATAATCCCAGAAGTAACCAAAATACTGCAAACAGCGACAGTAATATGTTGTGATGACACTAAAACTAATATTTATTTAATTAATATTATTATTATGAAAATTATTGTTTATCTCTTTCATTGTTATCATTATTATATTGTAATTCGAATTTAATTAGTACTAGTAGTATTTATTAATATACAATATCATATTTAATTACTTAATTTTAAAAATAACATTATTATTATTACTATATTATTACTTAAAGCAAAAATAAAAGAGTATAGGTAAAACAGTCGGCCTTTTGCAGAGACTGCAAAAACTTAATGGCGGAGGAGTCACATATTGACATATTTACATTAATTTCTAAGCGGGTACTAAGAACTTTAAAGCGATCTTACATGTGATTTCTACAGCGATATTGCGGGTGAGATCTCGCAGCTTCTCGCTCTCACGACCGTTGAATAAGTGTAAAGCACATGTAAGATTAGCTTTAAGGAACTTTGAGCCTTGCTTTAATGTTCGGAATTGTATAAAATTAAAATTATGAAACTATATGCTCTCAGTTAAATTGTTCACTAGTTTAGATTTGGTTTAAGAAAACATTTTCTTGGATTGTTGAAAATAAAATTAAAATACAAAACTATATGTATATTGAAAATTATTATTAATTTGTTGTTGAAAACATTTCTTAAATTATTTAAAAATAAAATTAAAATACAAAACTATATTGAGCATCTGGCAAGTCCCTTTTTAGTGTCCAGCAGTAATCTGTTAACATGTTGGTGAAATTTCTTTGGTAGCGTTTTACCATGTGTGAAATATCCTGGTAAAAACGCTCACCGTGTTCATCACTAACGGTACCAAGATTTGGTAGAAAAAAGTCCAGGTGACAGTGAAGGAAGTGAAGTTTTAAATACATTTTGCAGCCCATTCTATGGTATGATTCAATGAGACTAGCCACCAGATCGATATAATTTTCAACCATGATATTTCCTAGAAAATTTTCAACTACATTTTTGAATGAGTTCCATGCACTATTTTCTGTTGAACTCAATTGAAATTTCGAATCCTTAAGCACTTCCCTAATCTGTGGTCTAATAAAAATACCTTCTTTCATCTTTGCATGCCTCACTTATTTTAGGGAATTTTTGTTTCAAATAAGTAAAATCACCACCATTTTTGACCATGGTTTTAACAAAATTTTTGAAAAGTCCTAATCTAATATGCAGAGGTGGTAAAAGAATATTTTTAGGATCGACCAAAGGCTGAAAAAGGACACTTTTGGTTCCAGGAACGACTGCTTTACTTTGTGGCCAATCTTGTTTCAAGTAATGCAATTTTATATCTCTGCTATCCCACTCACAGATGAAGCAACAATATTTCGTGTTTCCAAGTTGTAAGCCTAGTAAAATTGCAATAATTTTTAAGTCACCACGTAGTGAATATTTTTAAGAGTAACTGCATATTCTCGTAAGATTCTTTCATATCAGTTCCATGGGCTAACGATATTGCGCGGATTTCATTTCCATTATGTAAGAGAACAGCCTTTAAACTGACCTTGGAAAAATGAATGAACAAACGCCAATCATCATCGTTGTATTCAAAATCAAGAGAAAGAATATCATTGCAAGAAATTAGGACATTTTCGTTTTTGGATCCAATAATTTCGAACCCTTTAATGATGATCCTAAGATTTCACTCTTCTTTTTGGACAATTTTAAATTGCACCCTAGATAGTTCAAATCGTCTTGCGTTATAAGATAAGCTCCATCAGATGTCCTGGGTCCGAAATTAGGGTCCTTTGTGTTTGGGCTTTGTTCATTCTCACATTCTTGATTACTTTTGGAATCTTCGTAAG